ACCCTAAACCCTAAACCCCCGCCCCTGCCCCGAGCCTTCGGCGAGTTGCTCAGGACATGATTTAGCACCTGGACAGGGCACTCCTGGACCCTTAAGAACCTCCCGCTGTGGAGCTCCTGATTATGATTTCCTTATTATTGTTATTATTAGTAGTATTATTACTAGTATTATTAGTATTATATATATATATATATAGACTGTATATATCCTTAGAAAAGGTAGGTTAGTCTCACTTCCTTATTATGATTTCCTTATGCAACTCCTTAAAAAAGTAGGTTAGTTGTCCTTAATCCTTAGTTTTGATTTCCTTCTACAAATCCTTTACTAGGTAGGTTAGTCTTAGGGCTCCTTGTTAGCATTTCCTTACACAGCTGCTTAAAAGATGTAGGTTAGTCTTTGGGTTCCGTGCTACTGTCAGTCTTAGGGGGTTTGCCTTGGGGTTCCTTACGATGATTTCCTTATATAAATCTTAGAAGAGGTAGTTTAGTCTTAGGGCTCCTTATCATAATTTCGTTATATAACTCCTTCAGAAAGTAGGTTAGTCTTCGGGTTCGATTTCGTTATAATATAACTCCTTAAGAAAGTAGGTTAGTCCTGGGGTTCCTTGTTATGATTTCCTTATATAAAGCCTTAAGAAGGTAGGTTATTCTTAGGGTTCCTTATTATGATTTCCTTATATAAAGCCTTAAGAAGGTAGGTTATTCTTAGGGTTCCTTATTATGATTTCCTTCTATAAAGCCTTAAGAAGGTAGGTTATTCTTAGGGTTCCTTATTATGATTTCCTTATATAAAGCCTTAAGAAGGTCGGTCATTCGGGGTTAAGGCTGAGGCAAAGGAATCAAGGCAAAGCTTCTAGCGCCTTCTCAGGCGCTGTCGCAGTCGCCCTCGTCGCCGCGGTAACGGCGCATTGAAGGGAAGGGAACTCAGGTAGGGGCGGTTTAGGGTTTAGGGTTTAGGGGGCCTTGACAATTAGAATAGGGTTTTGGGCTCCTTCATACTGACTATACTAAGATGGGTAATTATTTAGGCTTCTATAGTGGCCGTGGTTGCAAGCGGCCTTACCATCATGATTACATCGCCATCGCCAATAAGAGCACGAATAGCAAAGAGTAAGGGGGGAATGGGGGTGCGAGGATCCGGGTCACAGAAACCGGCGGTGATAACAACAACAATAACAACAACTCTGTTAGAACCAGTACTAGAAACAATACTACTACAATATACCACCATAATAGCAAAAAGGATCATAACAAAACCCAAAAAACAAGAAAACCCGGCGAGACCTGCGTGGGCGTCGAGCAATCTGGTGCAAGTTGAACTCGGAACTTTGGCAGCCTCATGGGCTCTGACTGGGTTTTTGTTGAGGTTAGGGTTGAGGGTTTGGGGCTTAGGGTGTATTTAGAGAATCCTTAATGGCTGAGTACCGTGTGCTTGCAACATTTACAAACAGAGTGCCTGCATGATGGATTCTGAAGAGTTCTATAATGGTTCTGCGCTGGATGGGCAACTCTTCTTATATAAGAAACCCGGAGATCGGGGGGGAGGAGGACAGCCCCCTGAACCCTAAGCCCTGAAGCCTAAACCCTTTTAGCTAACTAAGTCTACAAAGATCCTATAAGGGCCGATGGAACAGCTGCAACCGCCGGTGCGAAACCCATCAAGAGACCTGCTGACACCCCGACTATGTCCCTCTGATCCATGGAGGCCACTAGGTTTGGGGCTTAGGGGCTAGGGTTTTGGTTTCAGGGATTCTCAGGGTATGGGAGTTAGGCTTGAAGCAAGCCCGCCTTGCTACGTCCATCACTGCCATAACCGTCCATACGGCATTGAACACCTGGCCGACAGGAGTTCTAAACTGAGGATTTCGGGTGTGGGGTTTTGGTCTTAGATGATACAGTTTAGGTGCTTACGGCTAGCTTTCGCGAGTTTCCAGGGATTTAGGAACACCCAGAAAGGTTAAGTGAAAGGCTTCTCAGGTCGGCAGGGGCTAGCAGGGCCACGACATGAGGATGAGTCCAAGGATCTCCGGTTTAGGCGGGTTAAGGTTTCGGGTTTGGGACGTTTGGGGGTTCAGGGTCTTCCACAAAGGCTCTGCGTGGTACATGCCATGCACGGTGCTACTAGGTGACTAGGTCCTGCACAACGACAGGACCACAATCAGGCAACAAGCAAAGTTCTGCAGAATCTTCAGGCAAGTAAAGGACACGTATGACACTTTCAGAGGCACGATCGGCAACAGTTTCCCGAACTCTGAACCTCAAACGCCACACCCCATCGCACATGCAGTATTTCTTCCCACAGTGCCACCTAGCTGAGACAAATTGCGGCGAGAATCATTGAAGCCCTGTCCCGAAATCCGATCCGTTCAAAGCTGTACGTTCAGACCTCGCCGCTCTCGAGGGAGTTCTGGGTAAGCTCGCGGATCCTGAAGGGGCACTGTTTGAGAATCTCGGATGCGACGAAAAAGTTGTCGTCGTAGTAGCAGTGGTAATGATAGTCGTAGTGGCAGTGGTCGTGGTCGTGGT